CGGTGATGTCTGGGCATAGCTGGGTCAGTTGCCTCCCGTGCACCCAGTCGTGGCCAGAAGTGTCCCTGCAGTGCCCTGCTAACAATTTCTCCCTCAAAGGGCTTAAACAAACTCCGCACATTCCTTTTGTCCATCCACAACATCCCTTCTTGGGGTCTGAGTTTATTCAGATAAAACAAACTCAAAAGTAAAACTCAAAGTCCCAAATCAAAATCCATTTTTTACCCTCTTGTCAGGTCACTCCCAGGCCTTTCCTGCTTATTGTCTCAATCCCATGTCCCGGGACTCTCTGCTGGAGCCTGTTTACTCCTAGCAGTCTCTGATCACGCTACTCCCAGGCCTTCTTGCCTGGAACCTTTCCTGTTGTAGCAGGCCACTCCCAGCGCCTCCCTGCCTGGAGTCTCAGTTGCAGGAATCTCTGCTGGAGCCTGCTTATGCCTAGGAATATTTTATCTCCCTGAACATCTCCCTTCACTGGAGGCATCTGCTGCCCTTTACAGGGAATTACCTGATTCAACCCAGGTGTGCCTTATTCTGTAATCAGGACTGACTAGCTCCAGCCTTCCAGCCCTTAAGAGGCAAGCCACCCTGTAACACTGCATGTTCCAACACACCAATCCAGTCGTAAGAGCCTCAGCCCTGAACAGCTAGTGAGCCTTGCCCTTTCCAGGGTTCCTAACAAATACAAAAGAAAAGCAAATGAATATTCCCAGGGATGTGGTTCATCCCTCTGCCTTCAAAGAGGTTTTTGTTGAGTTGCGGCCACAACTAAGCCATAACAGACTGATATGGAGAAATAGTCTCAAAAGATGTATGAGGACGGGGTCCTCTCTTTCTTGACTTCTCTTCTCTTCTCTTCTCTTGAAACTTAACTTTCTTGAGGGAGGGGCCATCAGGGAACAGTTAGGTGAGGGGCACTTGCCTTTAGCCAGCCCTCTCTCCCATCTGCCACCAACTTTTCTTTTTTTCTGTTTCATGGAGAAGCAGACTTGACTAGATGGTCTTCATTAGCGGTGGGCAACCTACGGCCCGCGGACCACACACAGCCCATCAGGGTAATCTGCTGGCGGGCCGCCAGACAGTTTGTTTACAGTTGCATGGCTGCCCGCAGGTCCCAGTGGCCGTGGCTCACCGTTCCCGGCCAATGGGAGCTGTGAGAAACAGCGCAGGCTCGTACTCTGTAAGAACTCGAAACAAAAACACTTCATTTTTCCTTTCTGGAGCGTGACGTATATCATAATCCTCAACTCTAGGACACAATTCAAAAAAATCCTCCTCCTCTTTTTTTGTTGATCTAAATTTTTTGTCATTTCTTTTTAAAATTGTTCTGTACTAGGCTTTTGAATTCCTGTTCACTCAAGTTTCAGAGTAGCAGCCGTGTTAGTCTGTATTCGCAAAAAGAAAAGGAGGACTTGTGGCACCTTAGAGACTAACCAATTTATTTGAGCATAAGCTTCCGTGAGCTACAGCTCACTTCATCGCAGAGCATAGAAGGTGTAGCCTAGAGGCTGAGGAGAGGGGCATGAAGGTAGCGTTAAGCTACCTTTTCCCTTCCCAAATTCTGGGCTGCTCTGTGGGCCAGTGTGGCCCCTGGTATAGGTTAAAACAGCACTGAAAGGATTCTGCAGCCGAGAATTGCCTGTACCCAATGAAGTGAGCTGTAGCTCACGAAAGCTTATGCTCAAATAAATTGGTTAGTCTCTAAGGTGCCACTAGTACTCCTTTTGTTCACTCAAGGAAATTTCTGTCTATATCCTTTCATTTCTTACAGCACCTTTAGCTCTGCTGCCAACTCTGGTGTGCTTTTCTCTTTTAAGCTCCTCCCTCTAAATCAGATCTCTCTCACTGATGTGGCAGAGTGGGGCCACCTGCTCATTAATCCTGTGTTGGCCAGGGTGTTTAAAATAGTGTTTAAAATCATCAAATTTTGGTGTAGACCTGTTTATAAGCTGACCCCCGCTCTTCGATGCCTCACTTTTTTACCAAAAATATTTGGCTTATGAACGAGTATATACAGTATATTTCCTCTCAGTGAACAGTATAGCTAAACTTCCTTCTTGTAACTACTTCTTATAACTAACTGCCCTGAAAAAAGTGTGTTTCAATTGTCTTGGAGTTACCAAGTTTCTTATCAGGACTTAAATTTCCCAATGTTCACAATGGTTGAGTCTAGGAGCATATCTTCTTTTCACCTCGGTAAAATACATTTTGTAATGAAAATCCACAACTTGTGCATGTTTACAAAAAGAGGGGAAAATAAAATTTGTTATTTTTCCTGTAAACATTTTTCACCCGAGACTACAAAAATAACTAGACTTATTGGGAAACAGTAAAAGTTCTCGACAAAATCTGCACTGTTCAGGAGTCAACATAGTTAATGTAAATACTTCATGGTAATAATGAGTGAGATACCATAGCAGATTTTCTGAAGAGAGGGGATGAATTTAGATCTACTATGAATGACTTATTTTATTGCATAATCCAGTACAGAGAAGAAACTTGGCAATCTATTCTTTCACTGTATACCGAAGTCAAGACAATATTTTTGTAAGATATATAATTGCTACTTAACAAGCACTAATCTTAATTCAGAAGTGTTGTATGGTATTCTATGTCTAATATCAGTAGGAGAGAAGTAATTAAGATGTATGGTTTTTGTAAGTGATCAGGAATGTTTGAATGGGTTACATAAATAACAGACTAATCAAACCATTAAAATGCATACCTTACTGCATATTTGTTCATTTAAATCAGATTTTATTAGAAAATTCTGAAGGAGAATTTTATTTTTCTCTTTATGGTTAACACACTGGCAAATATTAATTTGTGAGTTCCATAGGTAAAATATAATATGTTATGTTTCAGTGTATTTCTTTAAACTAGGTATGATTACAGGGCGATTATATTGTATGAAAAAACTCAGTGATTTTTCAAAACTCACACCTGCCAAATCTCCTCACTAACCCTTTTCACCACTCTGCAGAGAATTCATGATGCCAATGGAAAATCAAACTTAAAAATAAAAGATTCAGACATTTTTCTTGTTTATGTTAGGGTATGTCTACACAGCAAAAAAAAAAAAAAACCCGGCTTGGGCTGCAGGGGTGTTTAGAATTCTGGGCTGGGGCTGCAGCCCAAGTTCTGGGACCCTCCCACCCCCTCATGGTCCTAAAGCCTGGGAATCAGTCTAAGCCCGGCAGTCTACACATCAATGAGAGAGCCCCGCAGCCTGAGCCCTGCGAGCCCAAATCTGCTGGCAGGGGCTAGCTTTGGGTTTTTCTTTGGTGTGTAGACATACCCTTATAGTCTGTTATAACTAGTCGTGTTCCGTTAAACAGAAATGTTTGCAAAGAAAAGGGACCAAATTCACGGTCCATTTTGGTCAACTTCACGGTCATAGGATTTTTAAAGTTATAAATTTCATGATTTCAGCTATTTAAATCTAAAATTTCCCAGTGTTGTAATTGATGGGGTCCTGACCCCAAAAGGAGTTGTGGGGAGGGGGAGTCGCAAGGTAATTGGGTGGGGCAGGGTTGCGGTACTGCTACTCTTACTTCTGCGCTGCTGCTGGGGAGCGGCAGCTGCTGGCCAGGATCCCAGCTCTGAAGGCAGAACCGCCTCCAGCAGCAGCACGGAAGTAAAGGTGGCGGGGTATGGTATTATTAGGGTACCCCTGACTTCTGCACTGCTGCTGGTGGGGCGCTGCCTTCAGAGCGAAGCGCCCGACCAACAGCTGCCTCTCTGTGGCTGACTAGCTCTGAAGGCAGTGCAGAACTAAGGGTGGCAATACCGTGACCGCCCTAACATAACCTTGAACTCCCTTTTGGGTCAGGACCCCCAGTTTGAGAAACGCTGGTCCCCCCTGTGAGATATGTATAATATAGGGTAAAAGCACGCAACAGACCAGATTTCATGGGAGGCCAGACCAGATTTCACGGTCCATGACACGTTTTTCAGCTGTGAATTTGGTAGGGCCCTATTTATTAGTATGTAACTGATGACATGACATGCCCCACATGTAATCAAAAATTACAAAGTATTGCTCCTCCTTTATTCCAAATAAAGTCAGATGGACTCTAACACAGAATTCAGATCCTGGTTTGGAATACTTCAAAATGCAGCACGTTTTTGCATTCTAGTTTTTGGGTCAATAGATTGTAATAACAGTGGCCATTTGCAAAATTTGGATCCCGGTTTGGATTTTGACCACCACCAAAGTTCAGATCCAGGGTTTTAGCTTGGGCCCTTCTCTAGTTGCAAGCAATTATTTCTTTTCTCATCTCAGTTCCAAATCCATTTCAGCCCTGAAAACTGTATAAGAGAAAAACACACTCTACAGTTGGGTATGCAATATAAAATGGAAGAAGATATTGCTCTTTTCCTGTGAGAATAATTAATATAAGATGTCTTGTAGCTTGTAACCATTTGAGTTATCCCTCCTTTCCCCACTCATGAAAATAAATGCCATGCAAGAGATCACCCTTCAGGTAGTCACTCTTTGTGTTTACACAGGCACAAGCCGTATTTCCCCAGTCAGTGTAGCTATTTACCTCAAAGCTCTGGTTCATTCTTGGGGCTCCACTGTTTTTCATAAACTGTACTGTGGCAGTTTGGCGCAAATCTGATCTGAAACAGCTACTCTGTATAGCCACAACAGCCACTGTTCCCCACTATATTGTCTATATGCTGTGCTTTGCAGGCTTCATGTATTTCCTGCCCCCTCCCCAGCCCCCCGGACAGGAAAATAGGGCCTCTGCATGTGTTTAACCTCACATTTTTGCAGGATACTAATATTTCTGCTCTTAATTGACTATAGTTTTACAGGGGAGTGTGTCCCAGATGTGATTGCTCTAAAATGAAAGAGTATCAGTGTTGGGCTTGAATATCTGCAATCTAATTACCAAAATGCCCTTACATTTTATTTTGAAAGTTTCTTTCACTTAGTTATGACATTTCTAAATGACACTGGTAATCCTGGATTTTTTCCCTTGTTTTTACAGGTGACCTGTAACTGTTTCACCATCAGTAATGGAGAAATGCAGGATGTTGGTGTTGGCCTGTATCCCAGGTACTGTGGACACTGTTTCATTCACAGGCAAAAACTCTGTGTGTGGCTTTTTATTTTTTATTTTATTGTTTTTTATTTCTAGCTAGCTAGAGGGGTCACTGAAGTAGCAGGTACCATAGCTAAATAAGAAATTAGGAAATGCAAATAAATTACAAGAACATGAAAAACATTATTGAGTTTAAAAATATTTTTAAACTCCTAATTGCAGAGTTTTAACATAATTTAGATAGGACAGCTTTTTATACCTGAATTCTTGTTCTCATGGAGACCCTAATCTCTTCCTGGCAGTGGTAAGGATAAATACTGCCACTAAAACATGAGACTCGGGCTTCTTAAGAAAGTACCAAGAAGCTTGGTTAAATAGTTCCTTGAAAGAATAGGGTTTTTGCAGCCCACCACTTTCCTTTTTGTCACATTGAAAGAGAATATAGGATTTTAGATATGAAAATTAAGAATAATCAAGAAAATATTATAATGACACTTTGGTATGCCCACACCTTGATACTGCATGCGGTTCTGATCGCCCATCTCAGAAAAGATACGTTAGAAATGGATAAGGTACAAATCTCAGATGCTGGTGTTCTGTCCTCCTGTTGCCAGCTATCTCCTTCGTGCACAGGGGCTGATGGTCAGATGAAATCTCCCTTGCCCAGGGCATAGATAGGTTTCTTTGACCTCCTCAAGATTCATAGGGGCTTCTGTATGGTTCAGTGCAGGACTGGGTCCAGAAATGGTTCAGTGCAGCCCTTGGCAAAGCCTTCCACTTGGTCTACCAGAACAGCTTCCATTTTGGGTGACAAAAAGGTCACTCTCATCAACACTGAATCAGCTGAGTATGATAAAGGAAGAAAGGAGCCCTGCAGGTGGCCAATCTCTCCTTGCTCCTTTTTACGTACAGCTTTGGAGGGGCTGTCTCTGAAGGGTTCCACATCACACAGCTGCTCCTCCCTCCTGGTGTCTCCTCCTTTGTTAGCGGGATTGGAGATCTGCTGAATGTATTTTATGCTTTCCCTCTCATTCTCATGTCCTCCAGAATATTAAGACAATGGGAAAAGAGGTGTTTTTAATAACTAGTGACTGTGCAGGATCTGGCACTCAGTGCGTCAGCTTTTTTCCAGGAGAGATCACATCCCATTTCCTCTGGTCCCATACCTTCTCTCAGTATCCAGGCCTCCGTGGTCCCTGGGTAATGTCTGCCTGAAGGCTATTAGTCAAAGGTGGACACTGGCAGAGTGGTGGTTGGTGGCTAAGTGGTAGATATCCCCCGTTAGCAATCAAAAAGCAAGTTATCCGAGAGATACTCAGTATAAGAACCATCCTAGTAGAATTTTCTACCGGGATTGAACTACAGCCTTTGTGGATCTAAAATCATGAGCATATATTGCTTGAACTAACAGGCCGGACCCATTACCTCAAAGGCAGTAGCACAAACCTCTGTACACAGTCTAACTGCTAGAAGGGGGCAGAGAGCCACATTTTGTTACACAAAGGTGCTGGGTTAAATTTACTTGTTAGTACGGGGACAACGGATGTGAGCCAAAATCCGATTCCACCCTGACGATACTGGAATTCTTTTATGAAGGGTTCATCACCATGACCATCACCATGACAGAGCAAGCTTCTGCCCTGGGTGCTATGCAATTGAGGGCTGCCTGGTAGGGTCACACTCAGTGCTAAGACATCGTCACATGGAAATACGAAACATATAGAGAGACAAATTACTGTAAACCATCTCCTCCGATAGAGGGGACTAAGGAGAGAAGATTTCAGTGAGGCTACCCTCAGAGTTTCCTCCCAAATTGTTCTATGGAAGGGCATATGTGATTGTGCATGTGTGTACATATTCCCTCATACCATGGAGCAGGCTGCAGTGCCGCCCCACAAATCCTATGGATCCTCTGGAGGCCAGAGTATCCGAAGGGAGATGTTGGATCCCTGATGCCTTCAGTACCACCTACAGAAATATACAGTTCTAGGATGTATTTCATTTCTACCCTGAATTCTGGTGGGGGGACCAATGGGAATGAAGCACATTCCCTTGTCTCCAGCCTATATACTCTGCCCTGGCCCACCCCTCTCCCTCACACAGAGCCCTCACAGGGAGGCAGCAGCCCCCTTCTTCCCCCCCCGCCCTTTCCATGCAGAACAGTGAGAAGGAGGAATGAGCAAATGTGCAGGTCAAGGAGAATGATCAAGGCGGGGCTCCTGTTATTAATGAATATAAATCTTCTAAACCTTCATTTTCTTCACCTAACCGACCACACTTGATTACCAGGGATTTTCCTTGTTTGATAAACTGATTGTCGGTGCATTAGATGTAACTCAGTGAGCTCATGTTAAATAATTCAGGAGGTACTGGCAGTGGAGGATCCTTCTTTCTAATGTTCTCTGTTTCTCTCTCTCCCCCCTCCCACCCCAGCATGTCTCTCCTGAACCACAGCTGTGACCCAAACTGTGTGATCGTTTTTGAGGGACGCCAGCTTCTACTTCGGTCAGTCCGGGAGATCCAGATTGGTGAAGAGGTAATTAACTTGTCCTCCCTTCCATCACTGACACCTGCAGCAGTGACATCTCCCTAAATAAATGCCAGACTGCAGGGCCACCAGTTTAATATTTTGTTGATATATTGATGCTAGTTTCTATCACATAGCTATCAAGGAGAAGATGATAAATAGAATCATCTCTTCACACTGGCTGGGCCCCATAATCATTACATCTCATAAATCACAGGCAGCCTTGATAAATTCTTGTTCCTCCATTCCTCCTTTAGGCACTTAATTTTGTTTGTATTTGAACGCCTTTACCCTGATGGAAATGCATGATATTTCTGGGACGATTGCAACGCTCACTAAGTCATCACAACAATAAGAGTTTGTCAGGCTGCCACCACGCTGTAGCAGTAAACCTTTCGTTGGCAGTGAAAGTAGCAAGACAGGGTTTGTTTGCTTGTCAGTTTCATTAAAAATGACTTGGAGAAATCCCTTTCAAAGTGATTTATGTGTTCTGATGTGAGGAATTCTCAACTTGTTTTTTAGTTGCCATTTGTACTACTTTTAAAATCAGTTGTGATGGCTGAAATATTTCCAGGTAAACAAATATCACACCGACTTGGTGTTGAATTTGCTGAGTAGGGCCATTATCCTGCAAAGACTGATGCATGTGCATAACTTTAAGTACATGAGTAGCCCCTCTAAGATCACAATACTTACCAGTGTAAGTCTTTGTAGAACTAGGGCCTATCTTCAATCCAATGCATTTATGTGTCTCAGTCTTTGGGGGATCTGAAGGGCATATAGATTCCACATTTACAACTTTGCAATATCTGATGTTCTATCGTCTTAATGCTATTTTTGTTTTTTTAAAATCATCTACCTCTAAACAACAATGCAATGGAGATAAGTCATAAAGGGTGAAAATCCTTCATAGCCATAATAATAAGATTCTTTAGGAAAATCAAGGAAAACATCTTTGCAGTACATACTTTTTTTGCCAGGAACAATCTCTCAGGATTCAGTGTGGTTTTTCTGCAGTTATCAACTGCAAACTTCACTCTGCCTAAAATTCTTATTCAGGCCAGAAATGTATATACTTATTTTTCTTCCTTTTTTTTTTTTTAACTACATGCCCTTCTTACCAATTTACTGAAGTGAGTTATTTATTACAAAAAAGAGTGGAATAAACTTTAACGAGGTCTCCACAGTATCCAAGAACAGATCCTAAACTCTGAAGCTACTTCATTTTTCTCCATGCTTGGATTTTTTTTCGGGTGAATTTCACCAAACATGAACGTCACTCAGTATAGCACAATGATGGGCCTAATACGAGAACATGAATAGAATTCTGATTTCCTGATTTGTAAGACCAGTGCACTAACGCTACTATGACTTTGACCTAAGAAGCTGTGACACACCAAGTCTAAATTTGGAAGTGAATGCATCACTCATGGAAGCCTCTGGCCGAAAATCAGTGGTGAGATAAGTATGGTGTTTATTAGTCACTGGTTGTAAGCTGCTCAGAAAACAGATGTAATTTGCAGTGACTTTGGCAGCCGCAGGACCTTAAAAATGAATGCAACTTTCACATGTGGGAGCAAATATTCAAAAACTCTCAGCTCCCATTTAGGCATTGAAATAAAGGCTAGATTTTCAAAATAGATCAGCTCAATATGTTGAGCTATTTTCATTTTCTTGATCCAGAGGCAATCCTGGCAATTAGAGGCTGATCCAGTGGATATAGTGTACTTGGACTTTCAGAAAACCTTTGACAAGGTCCCTCACTGAAGTCTCTGAAGCAAACTAAGCAGTCATGGAATAAGAGGGAAAGTCCTCTCATGGATCAGGAACTGGTTAAAAGATAGGAAAAAGGTTTTTTCAGAATGGAGAGAGGTAAATAGTAGTGTTCCCTAGGGGTCTTTACTAGGACCAGTGCTGTTCAACATATTCATAAATGATCTGGAAAAATGGGTAAACAGTGAGGTGTCAAAGTTTCAGATGATATAAAATTGCTCAAGATAGTTAAGTTCAAAGCAGAGTGCGAAAAGTTACAATGAAATCTCACAAAACTGGGTGACTGGGCAACAAAATGGCAGATGAAATTCCATGTTGATAATTGCAAAGTAATGCACATTGGAAAATATAATCCCAAATATCATAATGCCAGTATATAAATCCATGGTATACCCACAGCTTGAATACTGCCTGCAGTTCTGGTCACCCCGTCTCAAAAAAGATACTTTAGAAATGGAAAAGGTACAGAGAAGAGTAACACAAATGATTAGGGTATGGAACAGCTGCCAGATGAGGAGAGAATAAAAACATTGGGACTGTTCAGCATGGCAAAGAGACGACTAAGGGGGGATCTGATAGAGGTCTATGAAATCATGAGTGGTGTGGAGAAAGTCAATAAGGAGCGTTATCGAACCTGTCACACATAACACTAGAACTATGGGTCACCCAATGAAATTAATTGTCATGAGGTCTGAAACAAAAGGAAGCATTTCTTCACACAACGCACAGTCAACCTGTGAAACTTGTTGCCAGGGATGTTGTCAAGGCCAAAACTATAACTTGGTTCAAAAAATAATTGGATAAATTTATGCAGGATAGGTCCATCAATGACTATTAGCCAAGATGATCAGATATTCAACCCCACCCCAAAGCCTCTTACTGCCAGATGCTGGGACTGGACAACAGGGGATGGATCACTTGATAAATGTCCTGTTTTGCTCATTCCCTTTGACGCATCTGACATTGGCCACAATTGGAAGACAGGATACTGGGCTAGATGGGCCATCGGTCTGACCCAGGATGGCGTTCTTATGTTCTGTGCTTGTTTTGGTGCCTAAATGGGAACTGAGTTCTTTTAAAAATCTGGCCTGAAGAGGGCAGATGTTGTGGGATAGAGAAAAAGCAACTAACATTGAGGGTTTGTGGTAATACAGGTGCCCCCTCATTTAACCCAAAAATAGTGGATTGAGTTACATGCCAGTTAATTATGCATTCATGTATGTTAGTGGAAAAAAAGGATATAAATGATAAAGTGATATTTGGTATGAATATATCAAATGAATATCATTTACACCTGGAGCGGGAAAAAGGAAAAGAAAAATAATCTATTAGGAGGGTGTAAGGAAAGGTAGGGGGTTCTGCATTATTTTATATCCTCATGTCAGTTGGTTTTCCTATTATATCTCTGCCTCTTTCGACCTTCTCTCTGGTATAAGTGAGATCAGAATCTGATCCGATGGGGCAGTACAACGTGCAAGTCAGGACAGAATCTGGCCCTGTATCAGTATAAAAATAGTGCTTCCAAAATGGATTTAAGGTTAAGTATAAGGTGTTGTTTCAAGTCATGTAGCAACAAGAAAGTTCAAAGAATTTTAAGGATTAGAAAGCCATTTATAGGCAGAATGTGGCACCTTAGGTAATGGCAAATAAAAGTCTGAGTAATCAATTACACTTATTGGGGAAAAAAATCACAGTAGTGACTCAAAGCCAGGCTATAAAAAGAGCACTCTTGTGTAGTTATCCATACAGGAACAAACTCTATGGGAATTCCAGACCCTTGCCAGGGCAATACGAAGCACTAGAATTTTATATTTTCATTAGACCAGTGAGAAATAAAAATAATGTTGCACTTCTATAGCACCTTCCAACTGAGGATCTCAAAGCAATTTACAGTCATCAGTGATTTATGATCCCCATTTTACCAGTGAGGAAATGGAGACATAGGATATGTCAACACACCTGCTGGGAGTGAGTCTTGCAGCCCAGGTTGACAGACTTGTGCTAGTGGGACTCACGCTAGGATGCTAAAAATAGGAATGTGGACCTTCCAGCTCAGTCTGAAGATAGAACTCTGCAGCCTATCGATAGGGGTGGGCTTCAGGGCCCAAGTGGCAGCTCAAGCCCAAATGTCAAAACAATGTGTACACAGCTATTTTCAGTATGCTAGCCCGAGCCCTGCTCGTGTAAGTCAGTCAGGCCAGGCTGCAAGACTCACTCTTTGCAGCTGTGTAAATGTATCCAGAGAGGTTAAGTCACTGGTCACTGATTTTAGACACTGCTGTTGTGCTCATCTCAGTATCATATAAAGTGGAAGGCCCAGTGTAGCTCTAGTGGAGCAGGTATAACTGAGATCAGAATCAGGCCTAGATTAGGTTCTAAAGCGCTTATCATTTAAATTGGATGATATTGATCAGGTCAGTGATAAACATATATGGTCCATCTAAAAATGGTGCAGCTTTCTTTTTCCCTGCCAGTTTTGAGCAAACTGGAGCTGTTTGATGGTTTTATTCTCTCATCCACTGGGAATTTGTTGGTTTGCATGTTTTTGATGTGAAACCATGTGACACTAGTTTTGATTTCATTTTGCGTTGAACTTTGGGGTTCTTTCAAACCTCAAAACCAAGGTGAATCTCAGGAGCTGTGAAACTGGGCAGGTTAAAACAGAAAAAAATGTTTGCACAAATCCCCGTAGAGAGAAACTGCTGAGTCTGAGGTGACTCTGAATTTGATGAAAATGTAATCACTCTTAACATCACATACAAAATATCCTGGTAATAAATGCATCTTGTTTATGAAGAATTTAATATAGATTACCCCAAGAATTCAAAAATCACAAATCAGGCCACCAGCAACTCAAGAGATTAGTTTAAAATCATCAGACTTAAAAATAATAATAAATATGGGGATCTTTTTCTTTGCCTTCTGGGGTATGTGCCATTAAGGATTCACATTTACAAGCTTTTCTCCACAACCACATATGCTAAAATCTTACTGTTTTTTAGATTAGAAACTGAGATTCTCATATAATCACCTGTTTCTAAGCCCTGGGGCATTAGGGAAAAATGAAATTTCACAAGGCTAATAATAAAATTGCAAGAGTTAGCAACATGGAGAATTATTTGGTTGTTATGTTTTGTTTAGGAAACCAAACGTTCCATAGTGGGCTCTGATCTCAGTTATGTCAGTTTTACACTTGTGAAGTTCCATGGAATCAGTGCACAAACATCCTCTGCTCT